TCATCTCAGAACTGCTTCTCAATCAAGGTGTAACCTTGAGGAAGGCCATACCTCTGGATCGCACAAAGGTAATTTTCCTATCTGCTTCTCCAAACAGGGAAATAGCTATCAAGGCAGAGCTAAAGAGACAGCTTCAGCTTGACAACAAAAGACAACAAGGAGACAAGGTGCAGAAACCTCTCTCTGAAGCACCTTCTGTGGAGAAGAAGAAGAAAAAGGTGAAGAAAACAGAACTGGTTGCTCCTCCTCCACCCATGAAGGCTGGACAGAAAAGGAAGAGGACCACCAAGACCAAAAAGAAGGTTGTTAAACCTTTGATCACCATGTCTGAGAAGGTGGCAGACATTCAGGGGGAACCTGAGAACACCACCTCTTTTGCCACTCCAGAACAGAATAGGGTGCCAACTTCAACAGAACACCCCAGCACTGACAAAGAAGGGTATCTGTCTTTACTAGATAGACAGTTTGCCCGTGTTCTAGAATGGAGAAGATGGAGGATGGGACCCCTTCACAAGATCATACAATTTTTTGATCATTATGAGCCTGAAGAAGAGGCCATACTGAAGTGGGTAGGCACTGATGATGTCTCAAAGTGTTTTGCCCTCAACTTCCTCCATTCTGTCCTTGAGAAGAAGAAGGCAGGTTACAAGGGAAAAGCTGTTCTCATATCCTCACCTTCGGAGGAGACAGTCAAACCCCTGCAAGAAGGAGAGATAGAAGCCTTTGAGGAATGGCTCTTTGCCAAGAAGGCAACAGAGTCTGTACAACCCAACTTTGTTCCTGGAGAACCCTCTATACCTAAGATAGAAGGGCAAGCTATGATGGAGCTCATCAGGGAATGGAGGACTTCTTTGATTGAAGAAAATGTAATTGAGGTAATCTCTCCAACTCCTTCTGTTCATATCTTAACAGAACCCCAAGTCCCTTCCCTTCTTATTACAACAGAAACCCCTCCAACAGAAAACCTTCAACCCAAATCCCCAGAACAGAAACCCTCCACATCTCCTCACTCATCCAATAAGAAAACCAAATCACCTTGCAAAGAACTTATCCCAATCATAAACCGCTCCCCTTCACCCCCACCATCTCCTCCTCAACAGAATGCCTCCCCTCAACAAAACATCCCTTCTCCCCAACCTTCACTCCAACACCAGAATTCCCTCCCTCAACAAAAATCCACTTCTACTCAAAATAACCCCTCATCCTCTCCTGCACCAAATTCTCCCAGAACCTCTCTACACTCTGTTGCATCTACCCCCAAGAGACAGCCTCTTCACCGCATTCTATCATCTGAAAGTGATAATAATGGCTTCCTGTCATCTTCTCTTGCTGGAGACCTCACTTCTAAACGCCAACCTACTCCTCCCAGAGAACCCTCTCCCCAGAAACCCTCTCTGCAACAGACCAGAAGGCCTCCCATGCACAGGTCCAGAGGACTAGGAATGCCAGAGCCTGAAGAATCTATACCTCAAATTCCCTTCAACAAGTTTGTTGAAACTGCAGAAGAATTTGGTGGTCAAGTCCTGGAAGGCATGGACAAACTGATCCAGATTAATGATAAGCACTTTGAGCACCTTGCTCATGTCAATGATAATCTCAACTCTGGGATGCAGTTTATCTCAGATCGCGTTGAAAACCTCACAGAATCCCTCCACAACTTCATGGCCTCCTCCTCTGCCAGAACAGATGCACTGTCAACAGAAGTGGTAGGTATTCACAAGACCCTTTCTGTGTTTCAGCAAACTCTACTAAGTCAAGGACGGGCCATCAACACAATCTCTGAGAATCTTGAGGCACTGCAAAGATCTGACAACAGAACTAAGCAGCAACTGCTTTCCATAGAGGAAATGTGTAAAGCCCATCAAGTTCAAGCTCAACATCTTCTCTCTGCTGACAGAGACAGATACCAGAAGATGGTCCTGCTGGAAGCCAACAATAAGGACATCTTCTCTGCTATTCAGAAGCAGCAAGGACTAATAGAAGGCCTCACTTCTGTCACTCAGACCTTACCAGAGGCCCTTGAGCAGATAGCCTCCTCACAGGCCTCAGAGTTCCAGAAGATCAGCCTCATGCTAGAGGACCTCAATGATGCCAAAAGGGGGGAAGAGGACCCTCAACAGACTAAGCCTCGGTCCACCAGAACTCCTGCTAGAGCATCCTCTTCTACTGAACCAATAGTAGACCCTGCACCATACTTTGAAGCTGCTTTACAGAAAAAGAGAGCAGCAGGTATACCTAGACCCCCATCTCCAGCAAAGCTAGGCACCAAGAAGAAGAAAATCCTCAATTTTACTGAGTGGAGATTAGGCGGATCCCAGAAAATTGATAGAGTTCAATTTGAAGAAATTAAGATGAAAATGACTCTCACCCAACAACAGAACCTCTTTCTGGATAAGGATGGTGTTGTACGAGTCAGATATGGGGGATCCCTAGAAGAAGCTGAAGATTGGTACAAGAAGAATATTGTTCCTGGCAAGACAATACATGAAGGAGTCCTCAGCTATTTGGATTGCAAGCTATCTCCCATATGGGCATCCTACCAAAGCTCTGGTAACTTATCTCAGATCAGAGCAGAAATCAATGAAGAGCTGCTAAGGCTTCAAAGATTGGAGGAAGAAGCTCTGCAAGCAACTACTATGGAGAATGTGTAAGAAATATCTCTGTAAACTGTATCTAATAAAATCACATCTCTGCCTTTCACTTTGTAAGGCTTTTTCTCAATTCTTGTCTCTTTCCTTTCTGCTTGTGTTTATTTGCTCTTTGATTTATTATCTGCTATCTGAATGTGCTGTACTCTTACTATTTTCCTATGCCAAGTTGCCCACCAAGTTTTTAATGAAAGTTTTAAACTTTATTCCTTTATGGTGAAGACACTTCTCTGGAAATAGTTAAAGGGGTTTGGCATCATCAAAAAGGGGGAAATTGTAAGCAATATTTGTAATTAGATTTTGATGATGCTAGATTAATTAGGATTTTAGAGTACCCCTCTTTAGACTTACTTAATGTATTAGAATTTTCCTTTGTAAAATTCTTTAGTATAATCGACAAAGCAGAAGGCCTCCAGAGCAGAAGACCTACAAAGCAGAAGGCCTCCAGAGCAGAAGACCCTTGATAAGGCATTGGTTGAACAGAGGACCTTTGGTTCTCTGCTCCAGAACAGAAGACCTCAGGGTCTCTGTTAGCCTTTACTCTGACAGAAACCCTCTTGGTTCTCTGTTGGATATCTTTTCAAGAGAAGTGCTCAAGACCTTCTCTGATCAACTCTCTACTAAAGACACCAGAAGGCTTGACACTTAGAAGAATTCCACCAAGCCGGGAAACCAACTGAAAGATTCCTTCAACGGCTAGGAGTCTTGAACGGAAAAGCTACAGTGCGCGCATTAAATGCACATTTAATGCCTTCCATACTCCGTAGAGTAATTGCAGATGATTGGCCGCAATGTCAGGATTACTTTATCCCAAAATAGTAACCCGCCAACTTTACAGGGTCCTACTGGTCAAGTCAACTGCTCGCTCATTTAATGCAGTTGTCCTCCTTCTCCTCCAACGGGAAGACAACCTCAGTATAAAAGATACACTACGAAGAACAGCCGGATAACTTTGCTAACTTTTGCTACAACTCTGCATATAAGATATTCAAACGCCAAAAACGCAAAAATCCTCCTTGAGATTGAAACTTCATCATCCTCTACAAGAGAAGGCAGAAGTTGGAAAATCCTTATCTCCAACTCAAGCAAAGTACCAAGTGTTCTTCAACTCTTCAAGCTCATCACATACAAATTCTTTGTAACGAAGCAAGTTGGAGGAACCTCTGTTCTAAATAGAACCTCTTCTTTCACAAGAAGGACATCCAAGTACCTGGAGCAGTGAAGTGGTGATACTTCTGGAAAGCTCAGTGAAAGGACCAGTCTTAGGGAAGCCGGAAGTGCATCCAAGAAGACATCTACACTTGAAGAAGACGTGGAGAGCTTCTTAAGTGATAGGACTAAGGCATTGTAAACAGACGTTTTTACAAGCTTAGTGGAACAGTAGACTAGAGGAACAAGTTGTTCCTTGAACCACTATAGAAAGCTCTGATGTCATTTACTTACTGCATTACATTCATTGTTTTTATTTGAACTGTTGAACTCCAAAGACTTGGTATCTGTGTTCAGCAGAACTTGTCTTGTGAGTTAACAGAAGGCCTACTGCCTTTGCTTCTCTGAGGCTACTAACAGAACTCCCTACCTGAACCCCATCCGCTGCCAATCTGTTCTGCCAACAGAACATGCTATTCTGTTAAATCTGATACTTAGCTTGAAAAAGTTAAAAACCAATACAGTCTATTCACCCCCCCTCTAGACTGTATCCAGTACAACCGGGACCAACAGAAACCATGCTCAGCTAGACAGACACTGCACTTCAAATTTGTCTGTCAGACAGACAACTCTTTTTCACGTGGAGTTGGACGAAAAAATACCAAAAAATGAGGAAAAAATAGCAAAATGACAAAACAGTGCCTCACATGACGGATGGGGCTTCCCTCGGCCTCTACCGCCAGAGATCTGGGGTGTCGGGCCGTGCTTTAATTTATGGAGGATTTCGGATCGGCGAGCGTTGAGGAGAGGGGAATGATTGAGGCGTTGGAAAAAACGAAAATAGAGTACGTACCTCATTATTTGAGAAGGGACGGTTACCTTAGAGACAACTAGATGAGGAGATCTTGAAACCTTCAAAAATGGAGATGAGAGCTCTTGAAATGAAAAGAGGAGAAAAAATGGGAATGAGAGTGAGAGAATAGCAATGGACGGATGGGAGAAAGAAAGAGAGAGTGTGGGATGAGAGATGTTTGAAGGGGTAAAAAAATGGTAAAAATATGAAGACTTTTATATGGGGTACAAATTGGGGTAGAATTGGGGTACCTATAACATTTTTGTTCCAAGAATGTTTAACTTTTGACTAAAAAATTGGACACACTATTCAACTGAAATCTGTAGTGTGAAAACTGAAAAGTACTCGGTACTAAATAGAATTTTCACCGTCCGTGGTTATAATTTTCAGATGAAAATCTTTTCTTGTCATCTTGATGAGCAGTAAGATACCCAATTAAAAATAAAATCTGGGAATTTCGTGTTTTGGGCATGATCTCTCTTCCTTAATTGCAGGCTGAGGGCGTCAGAGAGAATAATTAGTTATGCAGGCATGTAATTTGTCTTTAATCTTAGCTTGTTTAATTTCTCCTCTTTTAATTTATTTCTCAGCTTCCAAGATAATTTGTTGCTGCAGGTGCAGGACGCCATTTTTGTTCTCGTAAAGCTTCTCATCATCATCGCCGCTTCGTTTGTCAGAACATCATCGTCTCTCCAGGTCTTCTTCTTAACTTTCATTTCATATCTTCTAATTTCTGCGGTTCCTGCATCAACAGTTTCGGCGAGATTATAGTTTGTTTCCCCAAAAAATTATAATCATGGTCATAATTTGTTGTACTAGGTTGGAGAAACATGTTCTGCTACACGCACATGCGATGATGGCTTGTTCTGTTCCACCTGCCCTGCAAATGGAAATACCCGTGACAGATGCGTTCGCACCAAACCCACCATTCCCACATCGAAGGTTCCCTTTTTACACCTTTCTCATTTGACCATTAGGTCTCTTTTTTATGGAGTTTAGTTTTTTATGGGTAGCAATACTAGGGCTCCATCCTTAAAAGGTAGGAAAGAAGTAGTGCAGAGCTTTATAACTGTGTTTGTGCAAATATATACTATAATCTTTTTAACACTATGGTTTTAAAATTAGGTGAAAGGGTTGCCATTCAACAAGTATTCATGGCTGACGACTCACAATTCATTTGCTCGGTCAGGGGTCAAATCAGCCACCGGATCTGATATTATATCGCTAATAACCAATCAAGATGACAGCATCACTGATCAGCTCAAGGTCCATCTTTTACTAGTACTTTATTACTACATTATTATGTTTAAAGAATAGTGTATATCAAGATATTTCTTAAACTCCTCTACATATTTTCCTATTTTTTGACCATATATAATAGAGTTGCCATCAACTCTTGTTTATCTTACAATTGACGTTGCTCCCCTTTGTTAAGCATTTGGATGGTTGGTAATTATTAATCACCAAGAGGGAAAATTCCAAGATATTGTAGCGTACTTAACCACTGAGAACAAGTCCTTCTGATGTATGTTAACTCTAATTTTGAGTTAACAAAATTTTGTTAACTTCTCCTATTAGGGTATGTTTGCAACAAAATAAAAAAGCGATTTTCAGCTTTTGGCTTAAAAAAGCTAAAAAAGTGTTTTCAAATAACAACTTCTACTTAAATTAAACACTTAAAAGCTAAAAGCTAGAATCTACTTTTTACTTTTTCTATTACACAAAAAGCACACATTTTACCAAACACTACCAAATTTTTCTTTTCAAAATCAATTTTTTCCCAAACACTACCAACTTTTACTATTAAGCACGTCTTCCAAAATCACTTTAAAAGTGATTTTTTAAAGCATAAGCTATTGCAAACACTCCCTTAATAGAACAATGTAATTTAGGATTAAATGGATGACCTTCAACAGAGCAACATAACTGTGAGATTTGCCTTTACATGTGGGATAAGTGAAAACAATGTAATATTAGCTCTTTCTTTTGGTCACCTTGGCCAGATAAGCGGTTGGGAGTTTTACCATGCAGCCCTAAATGAGAGTAAAAATGAGACGTTTTTCCTAAATAGGAGTACTACATGCCCCTCCTTAATAGGACTATAGGAGTAAAATTGAGATGTTTTTCCTAATAGAAGTACTATGTTTTCTGTCTAAAGGAGTAAGTAGGCATCCTGAATTTATATTCCCATACAGAGATCATGCTGCCCTCTTTGTAATGGCTGGTAATGCCTTAATATGAAAGTATGATTTCTAGATGGTACTATGGTAGTACTTTATTTCTATTTAGTGAAAAAACATACTCCTCCTATTTAGGGAAAACACCACGCTTTTACTCCTATTTTGGCAAAATCTCGTCATATTTTCAGAATGAATGTTCTAGGCTAATATTAAATTCCAATGCTCGTGGTTTAACTGTTATTATATAAGTTAAATAATCAAGCTAGATATGTAAAAATGGGCATTGTTTTCATGTAAATTCTAGAAGTGTAAAGGTTTCGGCTGGTCTCCCTCGCGTCTGTCAAATGGTGAGTTGTCTGAAGATAAAAATACTTTTTTTAGTTCTAAAGAAATCATTTAAACTTAGTTTTATAATTCTATTGTTATTATAAAATATAAGCCATATAGTGTACTGTTTACTTTTGAGAGAATATCATATTTTTATTTAATGTGCACAATTGTTTCCTTTCTTCTTCTGATGAAGTTACTGTTCCACTAGCACAATGAGGCAGTCACTACTATTTATGTAAAACTTTTACCTTATTCCTCATCCTAGTTTAACAATTCTTCTTGTGCAAATTTTTACTGTTTTTGTGGAATTTAAGGATAGTGGTAGATTAGTTGAGTTGTGCCTTTGACTAAAAAGGTTGGTCTGGTGCGTCATGTGGATGAAGACATTTTACTTCAATCACCTATGGCTTCACATTTTGCAAGCTCACTTTTAATAACACACTTTTTGGTTTATCATTTGCTTCAATCATGCAATTGATTGATATCAGCGCATTTGTAACCTTTAGTTTCAGTAATTCAATTGGTTGAAGACATCGTATGTGGTAAAGTTCACTTATGACCGTGTAACTTTGTTTGTATTAATCCCAATTGTCTACTTGCTGAGCGGAATGCAATTAAGTTAGGTAATGTTAAGGCTCGGTTTGTTTCAAGGATAATATTCATTGGAAAGCATTTTCTTGATTTTCGTGCATTGGACACAAGAACATTTTCTTGGAATGGTTTTCATCCATTTGGCACGGAAAAACACCATATGTTTTTTCTTCTTGTGTGGATCAAACATTATATTACACATATAACAACTTATACGTTCAAGGGAAATATTTTTTCGTGGAAAAGGTGTATCACTACAGGTTTTTTTTTTATTTTGTTTTTTGTGCTATCAGTCAGAGTCTAAATGTTATGAAACCTTTTCTGTCTGAAGGGTTTTCAGGATCTAACAAAGCAAGCTAAACTAAAGTTGGTCTAAATTTATTCGATTTGTAGAATGGGGTTAGAGGACTTATGCTTGATATGTATGACTTTAATGGTGACATCTGGTTGTGCCACTCATATGGTGGGAATTGCTACAATGTTACATCTTTTGTAAGTCATCTCTTTATGGTCTTATTACTAGTTTACTACCAGTTTTTTGCTTACCAGTGTTTCTTTCTTCCTGATTTTTTTGCTTTCTTAAAAATATAAACCCTTGATTAATTCCAGGAACCTGCCATTGGCGTGCTGAAAGAAATTAATACTTTTCTTGGTGAAAACCCCTCTGAGATTGTCACTATTTTCATTGAGGACTATGTGACTTCCCCACAAGGCTTGAAAAATGTTTTTAATGCATCTGGGCTTAGCAAGTACTGGTTTCCAGTGTCTCGAATGCCCAAAAATGGGGGGGATTGGCCTACAGTGGATGATATGGTGAATAAGAATCAACGGCTGGTTGTCTTTACCTCTAAAAGAAATAAGGAGGCTACTGATGGGATTGCTTACGAGTGGACATATGTAGTGGAAAACCAATGTGAGTTCCCCCCATCTATCCATCATCAAAATCATGAAATTCCTTCCTAATGTATATTTGGGTCTGGCTGGATCCCGCAAAATGCGAGAAAGAGGGCAAGAAATGATAAGGGAAGTTGTCTTATTGTGTTTGCTTGTTTGGTTTTGCTATAGAAAATGCAAAGGAAGTATGAGTTTTAACAAATATCTAAAATCAAATTGTTGAGTTTGAAAATATGTTTCATATTCCTCTTATGTTTTCCTCTTTAGCATTTTCCATTGTGCTTCAAACCCAATAAAACAACTTTGGATATTTGTTCAAATACTTTGTGCTCAAATATTTTTTTAAATAAATACAAAAAATCTATACTCCCTCCGTCCCTAAATAAAAGCATTTGTTTCCTTTTCGGGCCGTCCCTAAATAAAAGTTCCCTTTCCTTTTTTGGCAAACAAAATAGTGCAAAACAGTGCCAAACAGTGTCCAAACAGTGCCAAACAGTACCAATCAATCCCACTTTCTTAAAATGTGTGGAAAACGAATGGATACTTTTATATAGGGACGGAGGGAGTATATTATATGTAATATTTTGAAGTTTTCGACCGAACTTGATTTTCCTTCATATTTTCTAAAATAAAAACTCAACAAAATTATTTTCTTAGGGATTCTTCTTCTTTCTGTACCACTTTTCAACTTCCAAATATACCCTAACATTACGGCGATTTTGGATAATTGAACTATCTTCATTTAATTGTCAAAGTTATTTGCATGTTCCATGCATCTGATTTAAGTTTATATTGTTAAATACTTCTAATCCTTTTTAAATTGAAAAAATATATTTGTTGGATGCATTGCCAGATGGAACAGAGGGAATGGTGGCTGGTTCATGTCCAAACCGTGCAGAATCATCTCCTATGAATAATGCAAAAAGCTCATTAGTTCTTCAGAATTATTTTCCAACCAATCCTGATAAGGCATACTCATGTGTTAATAATTCTGCTGGACTACTTAGTATGATAGATACTTGTTACAAAGCAGCTGGTCAGCGTTGGCCCAATTTCATTGCAGTTGATTTTTACAAGGTAGATACTCTTGAATAAAAGTCTATTTGACAGAGGGTAAGATTCGGCTGAAATAACTAAGATTGCTGAAGTGGTGGCTGAAGTGATTAAATTGACCGGGTTGTTTTTAAATATAACTTATAAGTTTATTTAATTAAAGAAAATAATATAAAAAATTAACTATTTATCAATTCAACTGCCGCAGCTAAAACTGTGATTGATAATGAGGAAAAGTGTTTACAAATGGCCAATAAGTATGATACTATGATGTTATACGTGACTATTGATGTCAAGTGTCCCACACTCCCACATCCAATCTGTATCTAATATATGAGTGCGCCTGTGCGAGTAAACTTAAACATTTGAGGACCTTTTGGGCGAGTTAAGCTCAAATTTGAGAATATTGTCCGGTAGGAGTTTATTTGGTACCCATGGTGTGGGATAGGCTGTTTGGAATTGGTTTTGCCCATAAATCTCACCTGGATAGACTGTTTGGGATAAGTTTCCTCACCTGTTGAGAAAAAAACTTTCCCTAATAGTGTGATGTGCATACACTTTTTACAGGAGAGTGATGGTGGTGGTGCAGCAGAAGCGGTGGATCGAGCAAACGGTCAGTTGGCTTGTAACTGTACTAGCATTGCATATTGCAAGGTTTGTCAATAATTAACATACCAACTATGACTTATAAATTGGCCTACTCCACAAAATTCTATGATGTTGTTACACATATAGCCGTATATTTTTTACCTACTTCACTGCTAAAAAATATTATTCTCATGCCAGCTTAGTTCTAAATGTTCCTGTCTAGTCCTTGCTGTGGTGCTTGATTTTTCTGAAGGTCTGTTTGGGTGGAGGATTTGAGGCTTTTGGGAATCTGAGTCTATATCTTGACTTATATTTGAGATTTTATAAAAATAATAGAATACCATAATGGGTGATTATACGTAGTATAACATTTCAATTGCACTATTAGTTATTAGAAACATTATATGATAGTATTTATCAAGATGTATCCGAAGCCTTCCTCTCCAAAACCCTGGATCCAAACTTGCCCTTAGTTATCTGATAGGGACCTACATAGAATAATAATAAATGAGAGTAATAATAATATTAGAGTAATTAGTATAAATAGAGGTGGAGGGTAGAATAGAAGGGAGGTTGGAATTATGATTTGGGCTTGGGACTTGGAGAGTGGGTACTCTTAAACTGCCTTTGTATTTCTCTCTCTACATTTTCTGCTATACTACATTTCCACATGATACGCCATTTCTTTCTTCATCTTGTTTCTTGAATTCACCGTGAATTAGCTAGTTATCTAACATTGGTATCAGAGCAACGATTTTTCCTTAGCTATTCATGGTCTTCACCAGAGGAACAATGGAAGTTCAACTGGAAAATCTGGAACGCGAACGGGAGAAGGATCACATAGAGGTGAAACGCGAACTGGAGATTTTTCGTGAAGAGTGGCGGAACGCTATGGCAGAGTTGCGCAAATTGATACTGCAGCGGAACAATCGGCATGAGCGAGGAAGATCGAGGACCATAAAGCGCTGCAGGAACTCCAAAAGCAAGAACAGTTGGCAAACCATTCTTCAACATTCGCAGAGTTCATCCACTTCGCAGAGTTCGTCGCTACTTGCTTCGCTGAGTTCGCAAGCTTCGTCTCAGACGCTAACCATTTCTACCAGTTCGTCTTTACTAACAGAACATCATCAATCATCATCTCAAGTTTCGTCACAGGTTGCCGAGTCGGTTCCAGTTTCTACGCTGGGGATTTCATTGACGACATCAAATCTTGAATGGAATCCGGCTGAACCCTCAGTTCATGAATCAGATTCAGACGAGGATAATAATCAGTCGACAGGATATTCACCAGATAATCCGGAAGAGTCTGAACCGCTCAAACCTAACATTCCTTACATTCAGGAAGGAATCCGTACCTACCACACTGATCTTGTCTTGGAACTGAACAACATTGCCACAGGAGTTGTTGAGGAGGGCCTGTACGCTCATCTATCCTTACTTATGAGAGTCAGAGGTATGCTCTTGTCCTGGAAAGAAACCCAAAATATTTTAACTCGTTGTTGGGTAGAGTTCAAGAACGTGAGTTAGGGATTCTAGGGGATATTGTGCACCTTCATTCATCAAAGACAATTTGGGAAGGGCTGAATAAGTTTGATGGCCTTAGAATTGAGGGTGAAACTTCTGGGAAGTATGTCCAGAATGGGCTGGGAGTAGGAATTATTGGGAATTGGAGGGAAAAGGTTGACTATGATGCTGATGATATTGTTGAAGTGTTTGTAAGGATTGACAATGACTTCAAACCTGCTATCTTCCAAGAGGCCTTGATAATTGGGGAAAATGCATAGAGAATGCCAAAAGTTTGTATAATCATTCAAGGAGGGGTAGGTTTGGAATATTGGTTTCATATGGCTATTGCGTTTAAATTCCATTGGTATGAGAAACTCTATCTTCCATTCTTGGTGATCACACAGAAGAAAGCGAGACATTAAAATGCTGCCTGTTGACCTCAAACCTATAATGGAAGGACTTCCAAAGTTTAAATTGACCTCTCAGCTGTTATTCTTGTTGAATGATCCTGATTTGGCAAATTTCTATTTTATAGCTAGAAGCCCAGCAGTAGGATTCCTTTTACGTATGAGTGGCCCTTACAGGGAAATTGTTAAATCCTGTCTTGATTTTTCCAACCTCCAGGATCAGCAACAAGGATTGAATGATTTTGGTTCTTTAAATATGTTGACTATTGGGAGAGAGTCTGTTCTTGAAGTTCATTCCCGCATCTGGGTGTTGGAATCTGGTGTTGAGATCACGAATGGCTATTCATTGATCATCTACCGGGACCTACTGGTGTCATTTATAATTTCTAAGGACGACTTGATGAAATTTTTTACTCATGCTGTCTTGAGACTGAATTCAAATGCTTTGTCTTCTGGCCTAATATCCTGGTCCTGTTTTTGTTAAGGAAATGATACATCTAATAACTCAGGAGGGTGGCATGATGAGAATGCATACCACATGAGTGGGTATTGTTCTGTGCTAGTGGACAGTGATCAATGCATCTCAAGAATTTCAATGTGTGATGGTCCAAGCAATGAAAATGAGGAGTCTGCTCTTGAATACCAGTTGAGTAAAATCAGTGTGGACCTGGACCCTGCTATTCAGACTGCTGTTAATGGACTAGAAGCTGAAGCAAATTTCCAACCTTACAAAATGGTCTTAGGCTCCAATAATCCAAAAGTGTTTGGAGCGAACAAGAGGAACAGTTTGGAACACTGTTCACGCGCTTATCACTTGAGCTAAGAAAGTTGGATGCAGATCCAGTTAGGGAAGCAAAGAGAATTCAGGAATGTTTCTCTCGGGGGCAGTTTGGAACACTGTTCACGCGCTTATCAGAATTGTTTGGAGCGAACAAGAGGAACAGTTTTCTCCTTGAAAAAATTTTTGAGGCTAAAGATACTGAGGCTAGAGATATTGAAGGTATAGAGCAGATCGACATGGCCCCTATATCAGTTTTCAGAAATGGTGGGAGGGGTATAATTGTGGTTGCTACTCATTCAGTAAGAATCTATATTATATTCGAGGTTGTTTCGGATAACATACAAAACTGTTCTCATCGAAAAGCATCACCGGATCTTCCTGCAATTATAGATGGCCTGGCCCTTGAGAATGGCTCAGTAGGGGTTGCCGCACTTGGTGCTGGCCAGGTTTTAGTGAAACAACATGTAACCATGCCCTTGCCTCAGCTGCTTGCTATGGAAAAAGTGATAGCAGTGGTTCAGTTTATGAAGTGCAGGGTCCTGAAATTTGGAAGATACTGGGAAGGAAGAGGCGCAAAGATGAGGAAGAAGTTGTTCGTCAGGACTATCTCCTATCACCCACCTTGAGGACCCACCTTGAGGACAAGGTGGTTGTCAAAGGGGGAGTAATGATAGGGACCTACATAGAATAATAATAAATGAGAGTAATAACAATACTAGAGTAATTAGTATAAATAGAGGTGGAGGGTACAAATTGCATGCTTTTCTATATGTGCATACAAATTGTATCTATAATGCATAATTTGGTACATTTTGTGCATTGTTGTGAATAAAACTCACCAGGCATGCAGAAAGTATTACCATCTCATGCAAAAAAGTGTGCTATAAAAGCATTAAAATGTCCTGGGCGATAAAATTTGGAAATGGTATATTAATCATAAATGTAAAGATCATTAATGGTTCAAGGGAAGTATGAAAAAATAACTGTCATCTTAACTTAAAATAGTCAACGAGAGAAGTTAACTAAAATAAATACAATAATGAGATTACTTAAATGCCCACAGTATCTTAACATGAGGAGAGTGATATCAATGGCTAGGATTGTTTCTCATTTTTCACGTTTAGAACTTTTTGTATATGAACCATACTCTCTCTCTCTCTCTCTATATATATATATATATATATATATATATATATATATATATATATATATATATAAGTGTGTGTATGCGCCGGTTCGTGTGGCCCCCATGATATAAGTTTTGTCATGCTATACTATATCATTATTGCTATAACTTTGCAGCACTATTGAAATTTTCTAGCCTTTGTCTTTGGGGTATTTACCTTAATGATGTCATCCATCCACTGTGAACAGCAAAACGGTCAGTCTATGACATGTGAAGCACCTAAGCTGTCCCCACCACCACCGGCAGGATCGTCAGCTACTGATTCGACATTGCCGGATTCCAGCGATAGTAATGATTCATCGGTGTGCAGCCCTCCCCAACAGTTTCAGTGGTTGATGGTTATGAAGATGTTCACCATAACAGTCTTACTATGGTGGTTGTAAACTGGCAGTTACTTGCTACTGATCGCGGGAAATCTACACAATGTTTTTTAAATACCCAAGTTGAGTTGTACCAATGCACAGAATTGACTCGTTCTTTTTTGTATTCGCTTGATAGGTTATTGCGAATTTGTGGTTCTCTAAAACTTGCAAGAGTGATATGTAATGATGGGCAGTGGCCGAGGGACTAGGAGAATCCTTCAGAAAAATTAATGTTATTTGATAGGAATGTGAGGAGATTTTAGCTTTCTTTGCACAATCTTTTGACCCTTCTGACCTTCTCCATGCATATAAGTTAAAACATGTTTTGTATTGCAACTAGGGTTGGAATGTGTTGAGCTTGAACTTAATTCGGGATCCTTTGTTGATGAATTTTAGATACTTTGAGATTGTGAAACAAATTTAATTGATCGCAAATAATAATATGTGAGAATATTAGGTACAATCTCTAAATATGAATACTTTGATTCTTCACTTGCAATTTGAAATAAAATAATTAAAGAATTTAATTTAAAATTATATCTTTAATCCTTCAAAAATTCGAAAGTTCTTCAGATCTTCGAATATTCTTGAATTAAGATTTCAACTTGAAGAGTCGCTGGTTTTTAAGTGGCTTGATCTTCAACAAAAGGTCGTTTTATGGCTTGATTTTCTGTTTAAGGGCCTCTCGGGATATGTGGTTTGATCTTCAATTGAATCTTGATTCAATCTTCATACGAATATCTTCAAATCTTCAAAGATCCGTCCTTCATATCTTCGAATCTTCAAAGTTTTGTTCTTCAGATCTTCGAATATTCAAGCTTCGTTCTTCAAATCTTTGAACATTCTTCAATTTTTGGACTTATTTTATCAAGAATCGACGAAATCACGAAGGATTTTTCGTATGTTCTTAATAAAATTCGTGGGTTGATATCTCCCTCTTCTTCGGAATCGTTCAGAGCCTCTTGGGAGTTTTTCGGAGCTTTTCTGCAGCGTTTCTTCGACTGAAAGTTCTCTCCTTTTTCTCTCAAACCAGACCCCTATTTACAGGTGTGGAGGGGTGAAAATATGCTTTAGGGTTTAGTAAATTCGTCCGTACCCCTTGGGTCTCAATTTAAATGGACTTCGGGCTCTATTTGCTTGCATTTTAATAGCTAGAAAAATCAGCACTTATGCAACGTATATGGACAACTTCTTTAACACGATTAATGACTATTTTCCATGCATATGGAAGGATTTTTCAGCCACATTCATTGTCCTCTTTATTAGCTGGATCATGTTTCTGATATATTGGGCTGCTACTTGATAATGGGCTCAAAATAGAGAAATTAACAAGATCGGTCCATTCCTTTAAGGATTTAATTTATAATTAAATTAATTGGACATTTGATTGATCCGAATCAATTTAATCAATAAATTATATCTGAATGAACCCATGTTAATATTTCATTTCTGATCAGGTCCAATAACCATCACGAGCAACCAAACAAAATTGAACATTGGCCCAATAATTTTTATATGTCCATAGAGATCTTTTTATTTACTAAATGAACCAATCCCAGTTAAGTCGGGTTTAACTGTATATGTTCTAGGTTGTTTGTTTAATGTTCGAGAACAAGCTCACCTAATTTTAAAGATGTTGTTCCAGAACAATGAACATATTGATGAACATGCATAGAGAATGACTCTAGTTTTCACAATATTATAACAATAATGCTACACTCAATGAAATTACCATGAAATATATAAAGTTATAAATTGGTTTATAAACCATGTTTATGAATGTGAATTACTCCACTTTCACACCACTGTGACAATAATGATATAATTATGAAACTACAAAGCATCATTGCTTGGGTTGGGGGTGGTGTTATTCCTGGGTGCATGACTGCCTTGGTAACTATCGTTGGAATGCTAATAAGGGTCTTCAAAGTGTGCCTATTGGGGGCATCAAGGCCACTAGTTGTCGCGGGGCAATGTGGCACATGTGTCATTAGGCCGCAGGAGTCATCGGAACACCAAGCTCATTGGGGGTTGAGGGTCACTAAGGTGCGGGGTGAGTCATTGATGGCTACAGATGTTTTTACTTAGTTTGAAATTTGATGGTCTGGTCTGATCTGAACTGGTTTGATCTGATGAACGTCTGATCTCTGTGTATTTTATAACTATCCAAGTCTGATCTAGTCAGGGACTGAAAACAATCCAAGTAAAAACATCCTACAAGTCATTCAGCAGTGGGGGCAATGGGGCATTAGAGTCACGTACATGTGTTGGGCTGATTGTTGATCATTTCGCTGCCGTGTCATTGAGGCATCAATTACATGGTTTTAAGAATATAAATGCCATGTCCTCTTTTTTGTTTTTTTCTAAACTTAATTCTATTTTTGCATGTAATTGACATAGGTATTTTCGGTTCTTGTTTTGATTGTTGTTCTTTGGGAAACTATCGAGTAAGCTCTTATACTATAATCATTTCTGCAATCAGGCCCTCACACTAAACAAAAACTCAATTGAGTACACCAACAAAAGAAAAAAACTCAATAAATCTTTCCAGTAGGCTAAGGGAGTGTGCGGAAATTTTAAAAACAAAGATTTTCAGCTTTTGGCTAAGAAACTGAAATGAGTAATATTAAGTCACAATTTTTACTTAAATTAAACACTTAAAAGCTAAAATTTGAAAGCAGATCGATGAATATGTGTTTCTATCCACTTTTCACGTTTTCTATTACACGTTTTTACCAAATACGACTAACTTTCACTTTTATCAAAATCAATTGCTTTCAAACAGTGTCAACTTTTACTATTAAACACTTTTTAAATTTTTTTTTATACAAAAAATGTTTTTAAAGTAGAAGCAATCGCAAATATTGCTTAAACTCATAGGACTATTATTTGTCAATTGACCCGCTGACTTGGTTCAAAATATAATCCACATGATTTTTTATTTTTATTTTACTTTTGTGTCTTAGTATAGAGATAATGTTTTGTATATTCGAACCCTGGGCTGGCCCAGGGCATGGCTGCCCAGTCCAACCGCACATGGCTCAAAATTTTGAAGGGCACAAAAAACTACTAGTATTACTTCGGCTCAAATTTACAAACCTTCCGCCCAACTTCAAGCCATCTGCGACCCATGCCTGCGCAATTCAGCAATTGGAACGAGGAATCAGAAGGTTGCTTGGAGACTGGAACGGCGGACGGAAGACTCATTAGACTCGCAAGCCGCACCAACGAAGGAGGACCAATGAAACCTCGCACCAATGCTAGGCCCGACACCGCTCACCGCGCCGCCCACTTCGCTCCGCTAGTTTGCCCCCACTGCTCCACAGTCAGTTCAGTTTCTGATTTTCAACTTTCCCGATTTGTTTACTTTGCTAATTATTGTGACTTTTTGAATTATTGAGTCGTTGAATTGTTAATTTTTTTTGAATTGTTGAATAGTCGAATTGTTCTAATTTGTTTATTTTCATACTTTCAGATTTAATGTTTGTTGAATTGTTGCATTGTTTGTTATTTGCTGATTTTTTGCAGTTAAAGTAAATGATTAGTTGAATTGATAATAAATGTGTAAATGTGTGTTTTTTTTGGAAAAAGTGTAAATGTGTTTAAGTACTCTGTAAAATTTAAGAAAGTGGTATTTTAACTCAATTTACTTGTGTTGCAACTTGAAAAAAAAGCCCAAATTTTATTGTTGCATATTGCCTCGATTTTATCGAGATCGACCCTGTTCGAACCCTTTTACCCCTTCATAGGTGAGAACTTTTGCAGCACCGAGTATCTTCTCTTAAGCACTTCTTTCCGTTTGGTTTATTTTCTTTCTTTTGGAAAACACTATTAAATGAGCTTTACTAATACCATAAATCAATCTGGTAAAAAAATTAATTGATTATGATGTACTCAATTGGATGTTATCGGAAAGGGTAATTCTATTGGCAGCCACTTATTTGCTAATTACAATCACATATTTTCAATAGTTCCTATTATATCCTTAATGCAGTAATCATCAGTCGAACACAACCTACCCGGAATTCTAGTCTCATAAAATACGATCTTCTCTCACCATGGAAAGATGAACTGAAAGTACTTGCAAATTGCAATACCTTTCTTAACTTGAATGGATTTCCTAAGCTTATGGATATGCACGTAGTTGACAAAATCAAAGGATGGAGAAGCCCGTTGCAATTGTTGTCTGCTCCACCTTCCTCTTATCATACACCATTTTGCATATCATTTCGAGAATTTGCACAGTCAACTTAACTTATCATTGAAATTATTTTCAGTCTTCCTCGAATCTGAGCTTTTTAGCGGTTGCGGGTTGATTCAACAGGAAGCGTAATGAATAGCGAGGACAGTTCGTTGACGTCGTTAGTGGCGGCCAACGACAACGCGGCGTTGGATTCTAATTGCAGAATTTTTGGAAAATACGAGCTGGGGAAGCTTCTTGGTTGTGGGGTTTTTGCGAAGCTGCTTTGAAGTCCTTGCTACGAAGAAGAAGATCTATTTACCAGGGAGGCTGTGGGCTGCAGATTATTGTATTAAAGACTTGAGAGGATTTTTTAAAAATGTATGACTACACCTAGTAAATAAATGGTTGTGAATAGAATTTCCCTATTGGAAAGTTTTTTATTCATAACTTGGATCGATTGCGACTAGGCATACAGTGAGGCATGAGTCAGCCCAAGTAAAGGCGCAATCTAATTCAGCCCAATGCTAATTTCAGTAATTTGAAATACGACACCGAAGATACAAGATAGGGCTGCATTATTTGGCGCGAAAATAATTCTTCCCGCCCATGTATCTCTGCCATCAAATTCCACATTCCCGCAACTCGGACCGCGATATTGAGCTTTCAGTGGAAAAGTCGCGGCAGAGCGTAAGGAGAGAGAAGGGATACATAGGAAGACAATGTCGGACGAGCCTGCGACTGCAGCCGGACGGCGGAGCCGACGGACCGGTGGGGCGGATAGGGCTAGTGCGCTGGAGCGTATTAGAGCTTTCCGAAGCGGTGAACGGCTCTCCCGAGAGCCTAGCGCCTACCAGATCAAGATGGAGGATCCGATTTACGACATAGTTGACGATGACGAGTATAAAGCTCTAGTTGCCAAGAGGAGCGAGGAGGTTCGAGGGTTCATCATAGACGACAATGGTCTGGGTTACGGAGATGAAGGTCAAGAAGAGGACTGGTCAATTGCTGGCCTCCCCCACTCTTCTGATGATTCAGGAGGTGAGACTGAAAGGCCTAAGAAGAAGAAGACATCGGAGAAGAAGGAGCAAGTTACTAAGAAGCCATCGGCCGCACTGTCAGCTGCCGCAGCATTGATGGGTAGGCAGCGGATTTCCAAGATGTTCACTTCTTCAGTGTTTAAGAAAAGTAGAG